AAATAAATAAACTACAGGAGAGTGGCAAGTGGTGCACAAAGAATCCAAACAGGTGTGGTGACAGGTGGCTGAGAGCAGGTGCCACTGTGTGAAATGGAGGTAAAGAGTATCCTACAGCCTACGGCCAGTGCAAAGGCCCAGGGCGGGAACGGCTGGGTGCGTTCAGGAAGGCGCAGAAGGCCAAGCAAGGGAGCTAGCTGAGTGACACCTTGGAGGGGCAGATGGGCCACCCTCGGATGGACTGTAGGTCCAGCTGGCGGTCTAGGTATTACATCCCTAGGTAATGCAGTGTTGCAGGGGCCTTACTTTAACAGCAACACTGGGACTGCTGTGTGGCGAACAGACTCGGAAGGAAAAGGTGGAGACAACGGGACAGCCCACGGGCTCCTGCACAGGTCCAGGCGTGCAACAAGGCTGCTTGGACCCTACAGAAGTCTGAGGAGGAGGCAGCCAAGTTCATTCTGCCCTTCTCACCAGCACATGGCCCTCCCCTTAGCAGGACCCCCAGGCCACCAATCCAGACAGCTGCTGTGTCCCAAATGAGAAGGTTCTCCGTATCCGCACATCTTCAAACCTGTGGTCTTCCCCTTGCGGGCCACCTATCCCAGCCCCCCTGCATCCCTGTGTTCTCAACCTTCTGCAGTGACTCAGCCCTGACAGCACGTCTTGTCCTGAGCACTACTGGTGAAACCAGGCCTCGGTGGTTGGTTCTGTGCTTATTCACCTTTTCCTAACCCACATTCAAACATTTGTCGTGTTTGCTGCCGGCTGTCTGCATCCCCTGCTAGTGTTTAAGCACCGCAGTAGCAGATATGCTCACCTGCTCTGTTCCACATGCCCAAACAGCACCTGGCATTTAGGAAGTGATCGTTATTTTCTTAACCACCAATGAATGAATGTCGCACTGAAATAAAGAAAATTGTTCATTTGTGTTTTATCTATAATCACTACCTACCACACACTTGAGAAGATGCTTTGTTATTTTTTTAAATTAAATTTTAAAAACCTCCTTCAGGAAGCAGTGGCAGCTGCCCAGGTCCCCAGAGGCACTGAAGGCCTTGACTTGGAGACTCACATCCACCTCTCTCTCTCAAAGGTCTGGTTGGCCCCCAAGCCCTCGATATGCACAAAGGCGAGAGGAGAGGAGCTGAGATGTGGCCACTAGTGCCTCTGGAAAATTGCTGGAACACAAAGATACAGAGATATAAAAGCCCTTCCCAAATCCCAATAACTGGAGTATGGACACGGTGCTGCAGGGTACAGCACCACCACAAGGAGTAAACTGGCTTAACCAGACCAGGTGGATGACCAGCCTTATTTCTCTCGAGTCACACCTTGGGCTCACAGAAAGCCTCGAGGCTTGTTTCCCACCATAGCCTTTTGGGAGACCCTGAGTCACAGTGAGGCTGCTGCATGAGGGACGCTGCCAGCAAGCACACATGCAATGTGACAGGAGGAAGGACTTCTAGCCGCTCGGCCTACCTCCTTCTTATAACCCTGTCTCGGCTATCTTCCTGTGGCCTTGATCAGAAGTTGCAACCAAGACATTCTGGGAAAAGGTTGGGTATAAATAGACACACACTGTTTCTAAAAAGCTAACATATTGCTTTCCCACTGTTGCAAGCAATGTTTGGCCAAAAGCAGAGTTTTTAGAACCAGTGAGACCTGTGTTTGTGAGGCTGACTGTGTGGCCTTAGGCAAGTTCCTGCACCTCTCTGAGCCTGTTTCCTGCAATAGTAAGACGAGAATTCATTTAACAGAATTATTGGGAGTATTAAAGGAGATCCAATTTGTCAAGGGCTTTCAGTACAGCACATGGAACATACTGATGAGCTCAAAAAAATGAACTATTATGAAAAAGACTGAACTTTTCTGGGGTCTTCCTTCCCAAAACCCGTAACCCAAGTCTAACCATGAGAAAAATATCAGAGAAGCCCCAACTGACGGACATTCCTCAAAACACCTGTCCACTCCTCATCAAAAACAAGGAAAGCCTGGGCAACTCTCCCAGCCAAGAGACGTTTAGGGAGACAGGATGACTAAACGTACTGTGGGATCCTGGATGGGATGCTGGGACAGAAAAAGGACATTAGGTAAAAACTAAGGAAATCAAATAAAGCATGGACTTCAATAGCAACATATCAATATTGGCTCATTCGCTGGGACATGCAGCATACTGCTGTAAGGTGTTAACAGCAGGGGAAACTGAGTGTGGGTACATGAGAGCTCCGTATTATCTCCATCACTTTTCTCTACATCTACAACTATTGTCAAATAACACTTTTATTTTATTTTATTTTATTTTTGTGACCAGTAAGGGGATCATAACCCTTGGCTTGGTGTCGCCCGCACCACGCTCAGCCAGTGAGCGCACCGGCCAACCCTATATAGGATCCGAACCGCGGCCTCGGCACTCCTCAGCGCCGCACTCACCCAAGTGAGCCACGGGGTCGGCCCAATAACACCTTTATTTTAAAAAAGTAACTGCTGCCGCTTTCCTTATCATTGCTACTGGGCAGGAATAGGCTTGCAAGGGCAATGGGACGGACCAGGATGGAAAGCCCCCAAATGCTGCTGCTCTGGATTCAGATGTGAGCTGATGCTGTCCAGGGACCTCTGCCCTCCTGGTACTTTGAGCTGTTGTGACAATTTTACAGTTAACTGACAATTCCCTGTAATCCAGACAGGATGACTGGAGCTTCAGGGGAGGAGATTCCTGCATGGGGTTGGAGGCCGAATTAGATAAAAGAAAAATTAAACACTCCTCCACTGACAGAAGCTAGGAAATCCAGCTCTGAGAGGTATATCTCAAGAACGATAAGCAGACTAAAATTTTTTCTAAATGGAAGAGCGGTGCAAGACAGCCTGTATGATCGCACTTACAGGACCTCCTGGAATAAATGAAACTATAGGGACAGAAATCGGACCAGTGGCTGCCAGCAGCTGGGTGGGCAAGGGGCTGACAACGAAGGGGTGGGGGCACTTTCTGGGTGATGGAAATGTTCTTTATGTGGACTGTGGTGGTGGTCACTCAATTATATACATTTGTCAAAACTCAGATCTGCACATTAAAAGGGCAAATTTTACTGTGTGTAAATTACAACTCAAACCTGACTAAAAAAGGCAATGCATGAAGATAATTTGGAAGGTGACGACTAGAATAAAATCTTCCAGATAAAAACATATCAAGACCACCCATTTGCACTCTGATGTATTACCTCCCAGATTATTTTTATACATAATTTTATAAAGCAAATCATACAGTACATATAATTTTGTAGCACCTTTTTTCACATTATATCATATAGATGTCCCGCATTCTGAGCAGGAATCTCCAGAACCGTCAGTTTTGTACCTACAGCATACCCGCCGCCATTTATTTCACCATGGTTCTCGCCCGCGCCCCCAGGGTTCGGTGCTATCAACTCACTGTATGTTACTATAAACAACTGCACAGTGAACATCCTTGTGAAACATGTTTTTCTACCCTATATTTAGGATTATTTTCCTAGGCCAGATTCCCAGAAATGGAATTACTGGGACAAAGGGTAAGAGCATATTTTAC